AAGGACTTCAAGATTAACCTGAAATGAAGTCATACCAACTGGTTGTAAGAAATAAGAACATATTGAGAAAATGGCACATATAATGTGGAACTTAATGTGGCTACTTCCATGAGCACTGATTAATATATGGTTCCTTATTCTAATGAAAAAGTATAATGATACTTATTTGATCAAAAGAATATAGTTGTAAATGACAATATAATAAAAATATAGTTTACTGCAAATTCTGCCCACATATTAGTTTAGATCTGATATTTCAAAAGTACAGTGTAAATATAGTTTATCTCTGGTACATATCCATTACTTTTGAATATTTTGTCACTTATATTGTTATTTAAGATTAATATTTATCATTGGTATGTTAGATTTATATACACAACTAATCTACAGTTAAACTTGCAAGCAATCCTGAAGTAGACATTGCTGCTGATTTTAATTACTACTATTATTTCAGAGAATTTTATGGGCCATCTTTTCAGTCTATCAAGATCATACATCCATTGAAACTGTAGCTATCAGTTTCTTTGTAAACAATGATATACTCAGCTTTCAGATATTAGATGACAGAGTGAAAATACTTAATTTAACTTACTAGCTTTGAGATATTATAGTGCTGAACTTCTGTCAGATGATTATCCGAAAGATCAAGAAAAGTCAGCTCTGACAAGTTCCACATGTCAACAGGAGGATCCAAAATCTTGTTACTGGACATATCCAAGAACTTTAAGGAAGTAAGGTCTGTGGGAAGAAAATGTTGGGAAGGCAGGTTCTGAAAAAGGTTCTTTTGAAAGGTAGATTCTAGTTTTGGTTTATTTTAAGTATTTTTACACTCCATATCCATGCCCAACTCTGGGTTTTACTCCTCTTATTTAACAAATCTCTTCATAAGTTATACTGACTAAAGACAGGAAAGGGATGGCAGAAAAAAATATGACTTTAAATGACTCCAAATAAATACACATAATTGCTAGTAAACATACCACCTAGTACTCCCTCTTCAATTCCAGCGATGCTATTGTGAGCTAGAGAAAGCACTTGCAACTGTGTGAGTCCCTTGAAACTGCCCACATCAATGTGTGCTATATTGTTGTAATCCAAAAAAATCTGTAAGATATAAAGCAGGGGCTGAAACTCCGGAGGGCCAAGTATTTCATGTGTAGAGCTCATGGTATGGCAGCCAGATATACAGGTATATTACATGCGTAGATGACATGCGTAAGAGAGGCAAATATGTAGATATGTTTAGAACAGAGTAAAGAATGTTATACGAGATAGATAGATAGAGAGAGAGAGAGAGAGAGAGAGAGAGAGAGAGAGAGAGAGAGAGAGAGAGAGAGAGAGAGAGAGAGAGAGAGAGAGAGAGAGAGAGAGAGAGAGAAAACGCCGCACCTGCGTAACATCGGGGTGGAGGTCCCAGCAAGCTGCGGGCACTTCGAGTAGGCCGCCATTCAAGTACTCACAGTCCCAGCGCATGCCGTCGGCGCCGGGAAAGAGAGGGTCGGCTTCGCGGTGAACGCACGGGCACTCGGCGCTCGCTGAGACACTCTGGTTTGCCATGTAGTTAGGTTCGGGGAAAGTAAAATTTACGCTCAATATTAAATAAGTAGATAGGGAAAAAAGACCGTGGGATAATTATAACCAGGAACTAAAGGCTATATGATCACATAAATTAAAAAAAATCATAAATTGCTAAGGCTGATTGCCGGCATGCAGAGGGCATTCATGTACACGTATCTGGACAAAGATATAGTAAAGATCACAAGACCTAGTCTCATGCAATGGTATAGAGTCCACACTTAAAAATAACATAGTCTAACTGGAAAGAGCTCAAAGAGCAGCCGTAAGATGGGCACTAACTACAAGAGATATGATCTACGGAGACAGACTACAAAAAATAGGACTTACTACTTTGGATGAAAGAAGGAAAAGAAGCGACGTGATTTTGCTGTGCAACTATGTTACAAGAGAAGTGAAGTTTGATAGAAATGACTTCTTAACACAGGAAAAATGTGAGAACAGAGGGAAAAGTTGAAAGTAGAAAGAGGCGATAAGGATGACAAAAAGTTCTCTTTATTCAAACAGACCTCTTGAAAAATGACCTCTTAACACAGGAAAAATGTGAGAACAGAGGGAAAAGTTGAAAGTAGAAAGAGGCGATAAGGATGACAAAAAGTTTTCTTTATTCAAACAGACCTCTTGAAACAACAGTCAAGAAATTTATATAAATTAGATTGCAGATTGGACCCTCATAGCTTAACTCTTCTCCCGTATTTGAAACAATTAGGTAAAAAACAAAAAACAAATTCACGCACACGCGCACATACCAATGCCTATACGCATACATGCTTACATACACACACACACACACATATATATATATATATATATATACTCACACATATAGACACACACACACACGCATATATATATATGTGTGTGTGTGTGTGTGTGTGTGTGTGTGTGTGTGTGTGTGTGTGTATGTGTGTGTGTGTGTGTGTGT